TGTGATCCCAGTTAGATACAGAAAATTTAAACCATTCAATAAATTCATCATATTCCCTCTCTGTTAAAAAGTCAGCGACCTGTGATGTTACCTCTGTTTCTCTGTCCAGTGATGCTACCCGGTCTGTTGAGTGTTTCCAGTGTTTTCTGGTTTTATTTCGGATTTATCAGCATCTACTATCTTTTTGTTTCATGCGCCTTTTATTTTTAAAGCATTAAACCTCCCAATGTGATTACTGTGTTGCCAGGCCATTGTAAAAGCTCCTGCAAGCTGTCTGGTCACTGCCTGCCCTATGGCTCTCCCGACGGAACAGCCGACATTCTGAACTGCGACCCACAAAGCTGCCCCATTTGCATCAGGGGCAGTGAATCCGAGGTAAGGGAGAATGAGACGCTGGATTCAGACAGCGAGGGAGTGTATGAGTTCACCCAGGACACCCACTACACTGACCAGAGAGACCCTCAACGCAGTCAGTTGCGTGTAACCACGGCAAACAAATGCTGGACATTTTGGAAGCCAGTCTGTGACACTTGCCGCAAGATTGTTGACAGCAAATATTTTGGTCGGGGAATTATGATCGCTATTCTCATCAATACACTAAGCATGGGGATTGAATATCATGAACAGGTGAGGTACAATAAGTTATTTCTGTAACCTTTGAATGCTTTTATCTTTCCTTTGTGCTTAAAATAAGCAAGAGTCATTTTACTTTTCTATTTTCGTGCTAAGTCCTGGAAATCCATTGTCTATGATAGATTGAACACAATGTTACAATGCATTTCATCAAGTCATGCCATTTGTCCTGATTTTCACTTTTAGATGAAACATGCTGCAGATAGAGACAGGAACAAGACTAAAAGACAAGGAGGTGTTAACAACTTAAAACCCTCGGATTTTTTTTTTGGCGTAAATAAGCAGGCTCCCACTTTTAAGTTTGAAGACTTTAAGGGATGAAGTTGCACCAGGTCAGAATGTCAAGCCAATTGGAATCGCTTGCCCTGTCAGGGATATAACTGATGTTTAAATCTATTGAAGGCAGTGGGATTGAATATCAAACAAGGAGTGTGAATACAGAGAGTTTTTGCTAAAACTGGACATGACACCAGTCAGATCACAGCTGGAATACTGTGAACAGTTTTGGTTCTTTCATCTAAGGAAAGATATCCTGGCATTGAAGGAAATCCAGAGAAGGTTCACTAGGCTGATATCAGTTATGGACGGACTGTTTTTTGAGGAGAGGTTGAATATCTTGGGCCTGTACTCATTGGAATTTAGAAGAATGAGAGGTGACCTTATTGAAACGTACAAAATTCTTAGTGAGTTGACAGGGTGGATGAAGAAAGGTTGTTTCCCCTTGTGGAAAATTCTAGGACCAGAGGGCATAATCTCACAATAAGGGTCAGACATTTAAGACAGAGATGAGGAGGAATTTATTCTCTCAGAAGGTAGTGAATCAGTAGAATTCTTTGTCACAGAGGGCCATCCAGGCTGGGTTGTTACATGTACCCAAGACTGAGATAAGCAGATTTTTATTCAGTAAGTGAATCAAGGTCTATGGGGATAAGGCATGAAAGTAGAGTTGAGGATGATCAAATCAGGTATGATCCCATTGAAAGGCAGAGCAGATTTGATGAGCTGAATGGCCTACTTCTGCTCTTACGTGTTATCGTCTTATGTTGTACTGAGTTTCTCCTACAGTACCATCGCTGTCTATGTCCAATTCGCCCTCTCAATATTCTCAGCTTGTAGCAACTATTCCTCCTCAGGACCTCATCTCAAAATATTGAAGAATGCTGTTAGTTGATGATAAATTAAGAAATAGGAATAGAGGAGGAATACATATTTGTTAGTTGACATGATAGTTGAGCTAACCTCAGTACCTGGCAGATACAAGCTGCAGAACCACTTTGGGACCATCTCTCCCTTTTACCCCTTTTAACACTCAACTGAGTCCATATTCCTGTGATCAGGGGTGGTTTATTGGAGGGAATTAGCAGCTATGAATGTGAAGAGTTCCAATCACAATAATATACAGTCAGCAGCATTTTTGAGGACTCGGAAACTTCCGACTTAAATTTTTGAAATTCTATCTCTCCTCTTTCTCTGCTTAAAATTGGCTTTTAGACCTAACACTTGGTCAACCATCTTCTTGTTCACATTTTTATCTGATTAAACACCAATGCATTAACACCTTAAGCATTAAAGGCACTGTATAAATTCAAGTTGTTGCTGCATAATTGATAAAAGGACCTGCTTTATCTCTTGTTTGGGAATTAAAGGTAAGGATGAAAATCATCCACACGTGAACTTGAATACAGCACACAGAATTCTGCAAACACTAACCTTCCTGGTTTCTCATCAGGCCATTACTGTATCCTCAAGGGCAGCTCCATAAATTCAAACATCTGCATCATTCTCCCCACCCTACTGTTTGCACCAAATTCTCTCTGTTCTCTGAAGTTAGTAGAATCAATACACTGTAGGCTCAGGTGAGGTTGGAGATGACAAAACCTCATACCAATCATGTCAATGAACAACATTACTACCAATTGCAATCTTCCAATGTGCATTTTAGACCTGGCTAAAATGACAAGAAGGATCTCTGGGTTTGTCTAAATATAATATTGTATTCAAAATCATGTCGGGCATAATCTTTCATTCGCTGAGGATAACCTGAGTGGATACCCACTTCCAAGGGAAACTTCCATCAGTAAATTTACAGTCTTCACAAATGCCTCAAAATGAAATTCTGGGGTTTTTCCTTAACAGACCAGTACACAGACCTATCTTCAATCCTCATTTGCCGTATCTTTGCTGGAAGTGTGACAGAAACTATTCATATGTAGAAATATCATAAACTTCATGAAGCTTTAGGAACAACAGAGTCTCTGTGTGACAAATCCCTGACAATCAGAGAATGGGTTGCCAACTCTGGTTGGCTATATCCCTGGAGATTTCCTCACCTCTGATCTCCGATCACTCTTCCACTAGTTCTCCCACAGTTGACCTTTCTTTCACATTCCCTGCTGGAGCCAGTCAGTAAGTGTACACTCTTCACCAATGAATAAATTGATGAATTTCGATGGTCTGTCCAACCACCATTTTTCCGACCTGAGCCTTTGTAATGGTCAAAGAAACAAAAGTGAAAATGAGAACCAAAAGGAAAGTCTTTTACTTTGGGGAAAGACATCTGAAATGCATTTGGAATTATGCTGTTAAGTCACATTTCCATTTTCTGACAATATTCGCATAATCACAAATTTCAACAAAATCTTCCAAAAACCACAGAAATCGGACACAGCTAATTCCAAAGGATTTTCAGACTCTCAGGGAATTGCGGGATATGGAGAGTGCGCGGGAAAAGAGGAATTGAGGCAACAGTCAGTGGGCCTCATGATCTAGTTCAGTCCTATTTCCTATTTTCTCTCCTTATCTCACAGATCATAATTACTTCATTCCTCTTTCCAATAAAATGTGTCCCCGATGAATTTAAGAGTGGTGACCTGATGCAGTTTTAACAATGAACTGAAAATGAATTTATCTTGAAAATGCACATTTTTAATCAGTCACCTTGGCCTCCACCTGTAAAGAATTTCATTTACAATCACTGAAAATGATTTTGAGAATTATACTGAGTTATTTGCCACTTTTTTTGCTGTACATTAATTGATGCACACTGTGTCAGTTTTTATTACGAAATTAAATATTGCTAACAAGGCACATTTTGTCAAAGCCTTTTTATCTTGCACTCATCACAGCAATTCATAAAAATACAAATTTAAGTAAAATTTAAATTTTATAAATTTAATAGAATTTAATTTAACCTTCAATGCTTTATGAGAGGAGAGTGATGATTGATTGACAAGTGGACTCTAATTAGTTGTCATAGAAACATAGAAGGTAGGAGCAGGAGGAGGCCATTCGGCCCTTTGAGCCTGCTCCTCCATTCTTCACAATCATGGCTGATTGTCCAACTCAGCCTAATCCTGCTTTCTCCCCATAACCTTTCATCCCATTTGCCCCAAGCGTTATACCTAGTCACCTCCTGTAATGAAGAATGCACAAGTTAATGATGATTGCTAATTAATTGGCAAGTGTTACTTAACTTTTAAACTAGGCAGGTTGTCCTCCTTCCAGTCAGAAAGAACATGCGTATGAACTGCACCTGAATCAATGCAACAAAATAGGTGACAAGCATTTGCTAGTGTATTTGTCCAGGCAATGCCTTCACCAATCAGAGTCAAACAGGCTGGTTTCAAATGTTAAAAAAAACTGATGGTTAACTGTCAATCATCATTACCTGATGCATTCCAGTTTACATGCAAACGAATCAATACTGTCCTCTCATATATTATAAATGTTGCTTTTCACCTTAAGCTGGCATTCTTGCAAAGTATCCTAATGAGTATAAGATGAAAAGCTTGGACACAATGTCTTTTTTCAGCAATACTAGCATTCTACCAAATGACTATTTAAATTAAATATTTATTGATATGAAAAGCAATCAAACTGCATCAACTGTTGCCCGCCTGATGGAGGAAAATGATCTCAGTATGAACTCTGTGCAACTGGCAGAATCTCACAGTTTTGTCCAATGGACATGGCTGATTCATTTGATTCAGGGAAGCTGTAACTTAAACCGTGTAAAGGATTCTGGGATACACAACATACTTGATTTGAATGTAACTCACATACTTTATAAGCTTCCCAATCATACATACCAATGCCACCAGATTGGCTGATATTACTTGTAACGAGAGTATCTGGCCACGGTTTCACACCGTCACTAAGACCACTTATTCCTCGCTCCACCTCTGCCTCTGTCATCTGCTGTTGACATCCTCATGCATATCTTTGTTATATCACAACTTGTCTATTCCAATGCCAGTTGCTGACCTCCCACATTTCACCTTTTCTGAATTTGAACTTATGCAAAATTCTGCTCCCTGTTTCTGGACTCAAGCGAAGCCTGGTTCACCCATCACTCCTGTGTTCACTGGCCTACCCAAGGCCAGTGGCCTCAATTGTAGAGTTCTCATCATTGAATAGAAATTTCCTCAATAATTGTATTAACAGTCTTAGTGACAAGGTGAACCTTTTCCCATGATCCTTATGGCTCCCCTTATCTCTGTACCACACTCCACAACCTGTCCTGGTGTCTGTGCTTCTCTAATTCTGCTCTACCTTAATTGGGCTCGATTGCCCCCTGGGCGTTCATCTGTTTGGGCCATACATTCAGCAATTCCCTCTGCTTCCCCATTCCCTCCTCTTTTAAGATGCACCTTAAAGCGAGCTTTGGTTCATCTGTCCCATGATATCCTTATGTCACTCAGTGTCACGTTTTGTTTCATAACACTCTCTTTGGAATGCTTTACAATTTTGTTATAGATGCAGGCTCTTGACAAAAAGAAATCACGCCTCCTCACTTCTTTTTCATAGATGTTTTCCAAGGCTTTTGGCCACAGTATTGAAGAGATTCATCTTTGGCATTGGAGCATTTATACAAAATCCTGGCATCTCGGCAATCCTACTCAACAAGTCAAATTGACATTAGTGACTTTTTTTCAGAATTCATTCATGGGATGCGGTTATTGGTGGCTAGGTCAGCATTTATTACCCAGCCATGA